CCCCCCGCCCCGCCCCCCCAACCCTCTGGCACGGCCGTGACGTCCCCGCCTCCTCAGGTGCCATCACGTCCTTCGTTGCGGGCTTCCTGCAGGTGCGCTGGGCACTGTGGTCGAAGCTGGTCATTGGGGGCGTCACGGCTTTGCAGGCGGGGCTGGTCTTCCTCATGTACAGAACCCACAACATCTGGCTGTGCTACGCGGCCTTCGTGGTCTTCCGCGGCTCCTACCAGTTCCTCGTGCCCATCGCCACGTGAGTGCAGGAGCGTGTGGGGGCGCATGGCGGGAGGGGCCGTGGGCAGGGTGGGATGGGCGGTGTGTTCTGCCCTCCGTGGGGGAGTGCCCCCAGTGCACAGCGCGTGACCCCTGCCGCAGGGGCGCCGCGGCCGGCCTTGGTTCCACCTCGATCCTGCACAGCCCCATCTTGGGTCCTCCCTGCGCTGCTGTGAGACTGTGGGCCTGGCTCTCCTCTGCCTTGGGTTCTCTCCCTGGGGACCTTCCTGCACTCCCTTCCCACTCTCCGCCCAGGGGTGACCCGATAGCTACCCCACAGCCCTGTGCCCCCAGCTTCTCCCAGCTCTCCCTGGTCCTGTGCCCTTGTTTCTGAAGTCCCGCCAGGGGGTCACAATCCCACCACCCATACCCCACCCGTTCCTGAGACTCCATGCAGGCTGCAGTGGTGAGTGTGCACCTGTGAGCATCCACACTCACTTCACACTTGCGGGGCATTCCCACCCCACGTGGGGGCGCGAGTACCAGCAGATGGTCCCGCCCCGCCTTCCAAGTGTTGATGGGTCACGGAGGTGAGCCTTACCAGGGAAGGGCTTGGGGTATACACAGGCTGGGGTGGGGGTGTGAGGGGAATCTGCAGGTAGGGTGGGCTGTGGATAGCTCTGTGGGACACATAGGCTCACCCCCACCTACAGGTACCTGCTTCCCTGCACCTCCCTTGGCCTTCCCACCTCCCTCCACCCTTCTCCCTCCCTGGAGGACTTTGGCCAAGGCTCACCTCTCTGGGCCTCACTCCACTGGGAAGATGCCTCTGCGCCCAGCCTCCTAGGGCTGCCTGGCTCCTCTCCCTCCCCACGTGGACCAGGCACCCTGGGGCCACCCCTGGCCATGCACCTATCAGGTCATCTGTCCCCTGCCCCTTCTGAGCTGAGAGCATTCTTCTGCTCCTGATTTCTGGAGTTGTTTCCTGAGCGTGGGATGGTGCCCTGATCCCCTGCCCATGTTGCCTGGACACACCAAGTGTGTTTGTTTTCCTGTTCCTTCTGAGCTGAGAGCATTCTTCTGCTCCTGATTTCTGGAGTTGTTTCCTGAGCGTGTGATGGTGCCCTGATCCCCTGCCCATGTTGCCTGGACACACCAAGTGTGTTTGTTTTCCTGTTCTCCATGTCTAGCCCACGCTCTTCAGGTGCAGAAAGCCTGGATTAAACTCAGCCTCCTTTCTGCCGTCCCAGCCACACTGCTGGGCTGCCAGGACTGCTTGCTGCAGGGGACTTGCTCCATGCCCTCTGTGCTGTGACCACCTTCCACATGCTTGCCCCTCATGGCCCCCAGGCCTGGCCTTCCTTGGACACTGGACATCTGCCTGGGCACAGCCCCCACCCTCAGCCTGTGAAGGCCCCAGAGTCTGTCAGTGATCAGGCTCACCTGTCAACACTTTGAAAAGGGCTTGGGGCCACCTGTTGGCTTTGCCTTGCCCTCACTTCGTCCAGTAGACGTTGCCTCAGATGTTTTTGCTAATTGTAAAAGTCAGAGGCATCTATTGCAAAAAACCAAAAATCAACAACAACAAAAAAAACAAATGCAGAGGAGGAACGCATAGAGAAGAAAACAGACGTGTACTCCTAGGGATCCACCGTGTGAGGGTCCAAGTCAAACAGACATAATTGGTCACACTTGGTAATGAGAGATATGCCTCATCAACGGTTCTCAACTAGTGGGTAAAGTCACTATTTCCAGTTTCTCCTGTAACAGACAACACAGATGAATATTCTTCTGCCTACCTTTTCTTTCAAAGTTTTGATAATGGCCTAGAAGGGGAATGGCCAGGTGAAAGGGTGCGTGCTTTGGAGGAGGGTTTCAGTACACACTGCAGATGCCTGCAGGCCAGGTGGGGCGCCCCCCCACACTCAGGCCGGCCTTGCTTTCCCTCCATTAGAGGGTGCGAACTCTCCTTTAGTGGCCACTTTGGATCTTTTGACTCTTCTGCTGGGATGTTATCTTTTCTTTATTTATCTGGAGTGTACTTATATCTATCACACGTGACTATATCATTTGACCATGTATTTTACAGTCATCCCCATGTTATGGTTTGTCTTTATTTCCACTCCGGTATTGTCAGAGCACCTTTGAAGAGCTTGGGGGTGCTGTGAGGGCTCTGCCTGGGTTGGCACCGCTTTTCCAGGTATTCATCTGTGGCCTGGCCTTGCTCCCGTCGACAGGCTCTTCTCCCCTGTGTTGGCTGCCTGGGGTCCACTCCTGTCCTGCGACCTGCCCATGCTGGCCTTTCCCATGCTCGTGTACCCCCTGCCTGCCCCCCTCTTCCCCAGCACCAGCATTGCGGTCATGCTCTGTAAAGGGTTTTTGGACATTTGTTTATTCTCCAGGGGGACTTAGAACATTTTTTGTTCAGTTGTTTTTTTTAAGAAAAAAAAGCACTTTGGATGTTTTCATTGGAACAGCACTAAAATGTTAGTTGCTCTGCAGAGGGCAGAAGCCTGAAGCGTTGTTTCTCTCTAGAGATGTGGTGCCTGCGTGTGACCAAGCTACGGCTGCTTCGTTCTCTAGCAATGACTTCTGTCTCTTCTGTTGCTTACCCCGCTTTTCTTGTTCTTCTGTAATTCTCCTTGATTTATTGAGTATTTTGTGATGAAGGACTTCCATTCCAGACTTTTCTGCCTATGTCCCCCAGGTTCTCAGGATGGTGATTTTCTGTGAATTTTGGGATGATTAAGACCTAGTTGTCCCAGAGTTGGCAGGAGATTTCCAGGCATGTTCACAAGCTTGCATTCCTACTGTTGGCATCTGTTGTACTGAGCCTGGAAGACGCGGCCCACATGGGCAGCCTGGGTGCTGGACTCTGGCTTGGTCTGGCATGGGGGCTGCTGGCGTGGTGGGTGGGATGTGCAGGGCACGGGAGGGGGCTGAGGGCAGGGCTGTGAGCAGGCTTGCGGCCTGGCCAGCCCTTGACTTGCCACTACTCCCAGTAGGTCTCTAGAGTCCTTGGGAGCTGCGGCAGCTGTGGGGCTTTCGCCTCTGTTCTTGCTTTCACCTCTTCCTTCCCCAGCAGAGTCTGATCTTGGTCTGCTCTTCCCTGCCCAGGTTTCAGATTGCATCTTCTCTGTCCAAAGAGCTCTGTGCCCTCTTCTTCGGGGTGAACACATTTTTTGCCACCATTCTCAAGACCGCAATCACACTCATTGTCTCGGACAAGCGGGGCCTGGGCTTCCCGGTCCACTCCCAGGTAAGTCCCTTTCTGGGCTCCCTTCCTCCAGGAGGGAAGCTACTCGTGGAGGTCCCAGCCAGGGCCTCCTAGTGACCTCCTGGTATGGGTCCACTGTGGGCTGGGGCACTACAGAGGGTGGCCAGGGCATCGGCAGCAGGACAGGAAGTAAGAAAGGCTGAGCTGGGCTCCCTCAAGGGAGCAGGAGCCTGTGTGTGGGCACTAGGTGTGGTGGGAATGACTGAGCTTCTGCCACCCACCGTGCCTGCCTGTGCTGCTTGCTCCTTGGCCCAGGTTTGTCCCAACTCCAATTTGACCTCTGTGGCCTTGAGCTCTGCAGATACCCCCAAAGCCAGCCTGTTTGCTAGTCACTTCTGAGGAGCAGCTGTTACCAGCTTTTGTGTATCCCCACTCTGGCCAGCATCAGGGGAAGGGAGGAGGTGTGGCCATGACATGGCTCTGTGCCTGCGTCATTACTGCTCAGCTGCTTGGGATTGCTTGTGATTCTCAGGACCTGGTGGCCCTGAGCCCTGGGTGTGTGACACATAAGCTTGCTCACTCAGGGGATAGTGAAATAGAGCTGCTGCGGTTGGTGGTGGCACACTGGCCCCACTCTGGCTCCCCATCCCTGTTCCCACTCCTAGGTAGGTTTTCTGGTGCTTCAGAGAAGAGCTTTGTGATTGAGGGACCCTTATGCATTTCATTTCTGGTGGTTTCAGCCAAGGCGGGATCTCTCGAAGAGAGCCAGATTTAGACAGATGGTGGCACAGCAGGAGGGATCTCGCCCTCATTTCTCAGTGGCTGCCGTGCCTGGCCAGTAGCTGGACAAATGCCCTCAGCAAGAGCCCTTGGCAGGAAGCCTTTGTCTACCTGAAGCCCAACTCTCCCTGGGCAGGAGAGCTGTCAGAACTAATGGGCTCCATTGAGGTGGCCTGACCCTCTGTGGGTGCCGAGTCAGCATAGCATTTGATGACCTGAAGCTCAGCACTGCGTATGGCTAGCCAGGAAGGAGGCACGGGGCAGGAGCTGGCATTCTGGTTACTTGGGTACAGACCATTTTGCTTGGAAACTTGCCTTGCGATGTTTGGAAATGCCCTTTGGGGGAGGATGGCTGATTTCTCGCTTTTAGAGGCTTGTTCTTCAGCTTGAAAGGGTCATGGAGGCCTGTCCACATAGGCAGGTGGTGTGGCCCTGCTTTTACAGAGCCCTCCAGGTGCACTTCCTGCCCAGCTGAATGTTGGGGATGGTCCAGCCTCACTTGGCCATTGGTTGACATGTCCAGACCCAGCAGGGGTGGATGAAACTTCCTTGTTTCCAAGATCTTCTTGGATATGCAGGAATGTGCATGCCTGAAGCTTTGTGTTGACTATGCATGTACCCAGGGCAGTCCAGCACCCTGGGAGGAGGCCATCCTCATCCTTGGACTCCCAGGTTGTCCCCTGCCCCAGACAGTAGAACCTGCGTGTGTGGACAGGCAGGAAGGGCCCTATCACAGAGAGACTCTAGGGAGCCTGGTGCGGCCCCAGACATGCTGGGCCTCACTCTCGGCCTGCCCATGTGGGCACTGGTGGGAACCAGGATGTAGTAGGCCTGGAGCTTGCCTGGGTTTGCTTGTTTTTTTAACTGAACTTTATTTTTTGGTAATTTTACATTCACATGAAGTTTGAGAAATGATAGAGATTCCTGTATGCTGTACCCTGTATGCTGTACCAATTCCTGTATGTTCCCCCAGTAGTCACATCCTGCAGTTCTCCAGCTCAGCATCACAGCCAAGCTGTTGACATACAGTTAAGATCCACAGCACAACATCCCCACATTCCATCTCTTGCACTGCCCTTCCATAGCCACACCCACTTTCCTCCTAGCCTCACCTCCTCTTTAACCCCTGATAACCACTAACCTGTTCTCTATTCGTGTATTTTGTTATTTCAAGAGTGTTATATAAATGCAAGTGTGCATTGTGTAACCTTCGAGAATTGGCTTTTTTAACTTGACATCATTCTCTGGAGATTTCTGCAGGTTGTTGCTATTGCAGTAGTTCATTCCTTCTTACTGTGGAGTTGTATTCCAAGGTATGGATGTTCCACAGTTTTTACTCTTCACCATTGAAGGACTGTGGGTTGTTTCCAGTTTGGGGATATTACACATAAAGCTGTTACAAACATTCTTTATAAGTTTATATGTAAATGTAGGTTTCCATTTTTCTGAGGTAAATGCTCAGAAATATAGTTGCTGGATCACATGGTAATTGCATGTTTCTTAAGAAGCTGCCTGCTTTCCTTTCTCATATGTATGCCTTTTATTTCCTTTTCTTGTCATATTGCACTGGCTCAAACTTTATTATATCCCTCTTTCTGCTTGCTTTAGATTTATTTTGGTCTTCTTTTTCTAGGTTCTTGAGAGCTAGATTATTGATTGAGACTTTTTTGTCTGCTTCAGTGTACATTTAGTGCTGTAAATTTATTCTCTCAGTACTGCTTTAGTTGCATTCCACAAAGTTTGATACACTGTATTTTAATTTGCATTCATTTCAGTGTTTTTTTTTCTTTTTTTCCTTTTTTTGGACTGGTAAGGGGATCACAACCCTCGGCGTGGTGTGGTCTGCACCATGCTCAACCAGTGAGTGCACCAGTCATCTCTATATAGGATCTGAACCCGTGGCCCCAGCGCTACCAGTGCTGCACTCTCCCGAGTGAGCCACAGGGCCGGCCCGTTTCAGTATTTTTTAATTTCCCTTGAGACTTCCTCTTGACTTATGCTTATTTCAAAGTGTGTCATTCAGTTTCCAAGTGTTCTGAGATTTTCCTATGTTATTAATTTCTTTTTTGATTCTATTTGTGACCAGAGAACACATGCTATATTATTTCAATCCTTTCAATTTAGTCGAGTTTTGTTTTATGGCCAAGAATATTGTCTACTTTGGTGTTATGGTCTGTGGACACTTGGAAAGACTGTGTATTCTGCTGTTGTTGGATGGAGTGTTCTACAAATGCTAATTAGATCCTATTGGCTGATGGTGTTGATTTCTTCTCTGTCTTTGTAGATTTTCTGTCTAGTTGTTTTAATCTTTTGAGAGAGGGTTGTTGAAATCTCCAAGTATAATTGTGTCTCTGTTTCTTCTTTCAGTTCTATCGTGTTTTTGCTTTACAGGTTTGCAGCTCTTTTGTTTGTTGCATACATATTTGTGATTGGTATGTTTCTTGATCATTATTTACTATCCCTCTCTGTGTCTGGTCATTTTCTTTTCTCTGAAGTCTACATACCTAATATTAATATAGCTATTCTAACCTCCCTTTGATTAATGTTTACATGATACAGGCTTTTCCATCCTTTTACTTTCACCCTGCTATCTCATTATATTTGGAGACAGTGTCTTGTAGATAGCAGGTAGCTGAATCATGTTTTTTAATCTAACACTCTGCCAGTCTCTGTTTTACAGTTGGTTTATTTAGACCATTTATATTTAATGTAATCATTGAAACATTAGGGCTTAAGTCTGTAATTTCATTTTTTATTTTCCATTTATTCTGTTTTTAGTTTCTGTTTTCTTTGATGTGCCTTCCAGTGGGTTATTTGCACATTCTTTGGAATCTTGTTTTATCTATTGTGTTTCTGAGTGTATTTTTTGGTATACTTTCTTGGTTGTTGTTTATATATCATATTGCCAGTTTGAGTGAAGTGTAGAAATGTTGCTTCTCTTTGTCACTTTATCCCCTCCCATCCCTGTTATAGTACAATTGTCAAGTATTATCTCTACATACCTTTAGAGAAAGACAGTGTTATAATTTTTACCATACCCATCAAACATAGTTTAGAAAATCCAAGAGGGGAAGGAAAGTTTATTTTATTTGCCCATAGTTTTGTCTACTTTGTTCTTTCTTCCTTTCTGTTGTTTAAAGTTTTCTTCTTTTATCATTTTCTTTCTGTTTATAGAACTTTTTGCCATAATTTTAGTGACAGATTCTTCTCTTAGTTTTCCTTCATCTGAAAATGTCTTGATTCCCCTTTGATTCCTGAAGGATATTTTCACTGGATACAGGACTTGGGGTACACAGGGGTTTTTCTCTCAGCGAGTGGAGACCGTGCTGCCATTTCCTTGCAGCCTGAATGATTTCTGATGAGAATCACTGTAGTTTGAATTGTTTTTCCTCTAAGGTGCCATTTTCCTCTGGCTACTTTCAGGTTATTTTCCATTATTTTTATTTTTAGCTTTTAGAAGTTTGAATATGGGGTATGTTGGTGTGATGGTGTTTTGGTTTGTCCTTTTTGGTTTGCTTAGCTTCCTGAATCTGTAGGTTTATGTTCTTGCCAAATTTGGGAAGTTTTCAGTACTTTTCCCTCAAATACTTTTTCAGTCACACCTTCTTACTCCTCTTTTTCTGGAACTCCCATGAAACAAATGTTAGATCTTTTGTCATGCAATCCCACAGGGAGTGAGGCTCTGTTCTGTTACACTTCTCTCTGTGTAACAGAGATGCAAAAAAGGTTTACTCAACTCAAAGCACCATGAATGCGATGAGAAGCCCAAATGGACTGCACCTTAGCAACTCCTCTGTTAGAAGGAGAAACTGGGTGCCCTGATTCAAAGTTAGCTTCTGTTTTTTATTGTAAAGACAAGGAAGTTTCACAAGAAAAATCAGTTGATTCAATCATTACAAAAGGACACAAAGACATGGGCAGTGTTACAAAAGTTATCTATGGCTAAGTATAGCTTAAACAATGGAAACTAGCAACATCAGTAAAATTAACAATGTGACATTCCAAAGTACAATTAGTGAAAAGCTAAGTTGGTGAAACTGTGATCATGATCTAAAGTATAACCTCTCCTTAAATGGTATAAGCAAAAGTTGCATTCTTAGGATAAAATCTAAGTATAATTATCTCTAAAGTTTCCACCAACAGACAGCTTGCCCCTAGCAAACATTTATTCACATCTTTCCCTTCAGCAATTCTTAAAATCTCTTAACAGGATCTGTATGGCAACCACCTGTTAGCTCTAAAATCATTAAAGTATATAATCCCATACCTAAGCAGTGATTAGAGTTGATTAGATGGGCTGTTGCCTGCTAGCCGTAGGCCGTTGCCTCTTAATCCAAGGATTTTTGCCCCATACGTATATTTACCTAAAAACCCCATTCTAAAAATCAAATGAGAATCAAGATTTCTAACCCTCCACACTGTTCATTTTTTTTTTTTCCAGTCTATATTTCCTGTTGTTCAGGTGGGGTAATTTCTGTTGTTCTGTCTTCCAGTTCACTGATTCTTTTCTCTGTCTCATCTATTTTGCTATTGAGACTATCCACTGAGTTTTTTTATTTAGGTTTTTGTATTTTTAGTTCTAAATTTTCTTTTTTATTTCTATTTCTTTGCTGAGACTTAATATTTTTTCATTTGTTTCCAGAGTGTTTGTCATTGCTCACTTAAGTATTTTTTTGGTGGCTTCTTTAAAATCTTTCTCAGTTGATTTTAACATCTCTGTCATATAGGGGTTTTTTTTGTCTATTAATTGTCTCTCATGCAGTCTGACATCTTTTTGGTTCTAAGTGTGCTGAGTGATTTTTTGATTGACATGCAAGCATTTAGGGTATCACCTTATGAGGCTCTGCATCTTATTGAAACCTCTGTTTTGTTTGGCTTCTCTTGACACAGCTGCAGCAGGGGAAGTGGGGGCGTGTGCCTCATTACAGCCAGGCAGGTGAGAGGCTCCCCACTCAGCCTTCATGGTTCCTGCAGGGTTGGTGAGGAGTTCCAGCTTCCCTTGTGGCCCCCTTGATGCCACTAGGGGTGGGGGCATTCTTGTTACTGCTGAGAGGGGTGAGAGTCTGGACCACTCAGCCTCTGACACCTCCCTGTATGAGGGGATGGGTGCACTGTTACTACCGAGTGGGGGTGGGTGGTCTTTACCATCCTGTGGGGGTGACAGTCTAGGCTTCCTTCGTGGACTCCGCTGACTCCATGGGGTTGGGAGTGTCTTGCCACTCAGAGGGGATGAAAGCTGTGGCTTCCCACTCAGCCCCATGGGAAGGGGATTCAGGGGCCCTCCTTCCAGCCTGGTGAGGGTGGGGGTCCAGGCTGCCCACTCATTCTTGCTGCTGTGGGTGGGGTGGGGCTGAGGTTTTCTGTGGTGTTTGGCAGGAGTGGAGCGGTTCCCTCTCACTGGACTGCCTCTTTCCTGGTCCTTTGAGAAGAGAACTGCTTTTGTTGGGGTGCTTTTTTTCTGCATCTATTGGCCTTTCCAGGTTGCTGGCTTCTTTAGTTCCAAAATATACCAGGCAAATAGAAAAAAACCCATGGTGGGAGCTCACCACCATGTCTGTGTCATTCCTTGGGTCCGAGGCCACCTTTCAGAGTCATCTTGCATGTGTTTTATGAGCAGTGCTCTGGGATTTTAGCTGTGCATAGAGGAAGAACAGGGAAGATAGTGTCAGCCTCTTGCTAGAAGAGAAGTCCTCAATGGTTCATTTCCTAGGTTTGCTTTAAAAATGAGCTTTACTAGCAGAGTGCCAGTGCTGGGAGGGGCTGCAGGGAGACCCACCTGCAAGCACAGAGCTGGCCAGGGCCCTGGGGCAGGGGGGCTTGGGTAGTACTCAGGCTGGGCTCTGAATTGCAGATATCCAGAGATCATTCCAGCTTCCTGGATCCTCTGGTCCCTCGCTGGTGTCCTGGGGATGTATCTAGTCCCTCCTGCCCCCTGGTGGCCATGAGAACCAGGAGAGACGTTTGCGCTGCTGGTGTTGGTTGCGGCTTCAGCCACCCATGTAGAGAATGGGGCTCAGTAAGCAGGGCCGCCAGGGTCTGGGGCTGTGGGAGCAGGGCCAGAGAGAAGCAGGTGTCTGGCTGCCCTCTGTGGGTGTCCTTGACCCTCTCCACCAGGTAGAAAGTTCTGGCACTCACAGATGTCCTCGAGCTGTCTCAGCAGCCTTAGCCCCACAGAGTATGAGCCTTGGAAGCAGACCGTGGAGCCACACAGATGCAGGACACGTGCTGGGGGTCTCCCAGCTAAGCAGTGGGATCCCCCATGGGGCAGGGCCAGGCTGTGGCAGGAAGGGGGTGGGTGTGGGTGTGGGGTGCCATGGGGCCTCCTCCCAGGGCTGGCCTCTGACCTCATACAGTGTCCTCTGATGGCCTCTGAGCAGGAGGAGGGATAGCCCATGAGCAGGTGTCACGGGGCAAGAGGGGGAACATAGTGGCTGGCCTGCCCCACCGGCCTCACCCGGGCCTCTCTGTTCCAGTTCCTTGTCTACTTCGTGTACTTACTGGTACTGTCCGCCATCTACTTCTTGGGGGCCATGCTGGATGGCCTGAGGCACTTCCAGCAGGGCCTCCACCAGCCCTTGCCCCCGGCCGAGGAGCTGAGGAGCCCCATGGAGGAGAAGACGGCACAGGCACTGAGCGTGCAGGACGGGGGCCCGGGCAGCCTGCAGCCCTTGGCTCTGCCGCTGCCCCCAGAGGACAGTGCATGGACTGTGGAACCAGCCTCCAGGGAGCAGAGCCAGCTGCACGAGTCCAAGGCCTGACCTGCCCAGCCTGCTGTCCCCTCCCCAGCCCAGCGGACAGCTGGATTCCTGACCCCAGAGGCAGTCCCTCCCATCTGCGTGCCAGGGCCTGACCGTGTCTGGGCCCTGATGTCACAGACTCGGCGCGTCCCCAGGCTGCCTATCCTGGTGTCAGTAAGCTGGGTTTCTGGTGTTGTCTGAATTCTAGTGTTCAGAATGTGAACCAGGGACTCATGGGGCCTTGGGTGCCTTTGCAGCGACACCAGGTGTGTCATGGGCCACCTGCTTTAGCCCAGAGGGGGCCTCCATTTGTCCCAACAGCTCTCAAGCACCCTGTCTTCAGCCTTACTCTTCCCCGCTGCTGGGGACAGTACCTGGTCATGCTGACCCCGAGCCAGCCGTGTGGGCTTTGGTTGCCTGTCCCTTGCCTGAAAGAGACTGTGGTGGGGCTTCCCGTGGCCCCCACCTGCCTTCACCCCACTGGGGAGGCTCGAGGCAAATCCTGCCTGTCCCTGAGGGCTGGCCAGGTGGCTCCAGGACAAGGGTGGGAGCCCAGATTCACCAGGCCTGTTGCTAAACTGTGACATTTCCAGTTGTCCCTAGGTGCTTGGGTTTTTGAACGGAGACTTTTTTTTTAACCGATAAAACAAGGAACCACACCTGGCCTCTCTGTTTGTCTGAGGTTGGTGGCAGACATGTCCCCATCAGGTGGATGCGAGGCTCTGGTCCCTGAGGCTGGTTCTTCCCTCCCATCCTAAGGGCCACTGCCAGTGCCCTCTGTTTCTTGTTTTCTGTTCCTGAAGTGGGTTAATACTGATGTGCAGGCCTACTGAATGTGCTCACAGCTGGTGCCAGCCAGAGGACTTGTCCCATGTCCCCATGGATATGCTGGCCCCAGTGTGAGCTGGGCTTTCTTGGAGCTGGGGAGACCCATGGCCAGCCTGGGGCAGCACCTCAGGGCCCGAGCTGTTCTCACTTCCCTGTGAGGTGTAAGAGAGTGTGTGATATGAAGGCTTTTCCCAAAGTACGTTAAACTGTGCACCGAGTGTGAGAAGGTTCCTGATTCTGGCCCTGCCTGGCTGGTGTGTGAGGACTGGTGGCTGGTCAAGAGGCCAGGAGAGGGATCTGGCCTTCTCCCCACCAGCCACAGCCAAGGACCCACGCCAGGGCCAGGGCCCTTGAATATAGCCCACCACCACCAGCCCCAGTCCGGGACCCTCTCCCTTGGGGGCAGCTGTGCAGCCTCTGTGCTGGGTGTGGTCCTGGTGAAAGGCCAGGTTCTCAGACCCAACTCAGCAGGGAGAACTAGAGACAATTCCTTACTGGGAGGGCCGCTGCAGCTGGCTGTGCCCCAGGTCCCCCAAGATGGCCCGGTGCATGGGGCATCTCAGGGCACTGTGGGTTGAGGATCGAGCAGGAGGCTGCATGCGGGGGACGGGTGGAGTCACAGCTGCCAGGGGCATTCCACAGGCCCCACCACAGCCACCCTGTGACCCCCTGGGAAGGGAGCAGCATCATCCCCTATCTGGGTATGGGGATCTGGCAGGAGGTGACCTGGGGCCTGGCCTGGGCCTTGAGCCGTGGGAGGGGGTGGAGCATGACCATCCCTGTCACCCTGTGCTCACTGCACAGCCATGAACCTCGGGGCCCCTAACCTGCAGTGCATTCACCAGGGGGGCCTCTCCCTGGGAGAACCCTCCCCATCAGCGTCCACCGCCCCCCCCACCCCAGGGCACCTGTGCACCCTGCACTGGCACCAGAGGCTGGCATTTGCTGCTCCCAAGCCAGCCTCCAGGGCAGGCATGGCACGCTGTGTCCGGGAGCAGCGAGCCCCTCAGGGTTGGGTGCCCAGTGGAAAGCCCAGCGGGGCACAGCAGCTTGCAAACAACACAGGCTCTGGGTCTGAGAGGCCACAGTGCACACCCCCTTCCATGGTCTTGGAGTAAGAGCCTGTGAGGATCTCTGGCTGCCAGCAGAGACCCTAGAGAGGAGAGGTGTGGGTGCCTGTGGCATCTGTACGTCTGCCTGGCACATCCTTGCTCACCTGTGCACATCTGTGCATAGGCGCATGCACACCCTTGTATATCTGCGTGTATACACCTGTGCATATCCACATGCACTTGAGCACACCTGTGCTTCCTCAGCAGGACCCACTAGCTTGGCAGTCCAGAGGCACAAGGCTCCCAGGACTCATTTTGGATGGTTTTGCCCTCCTTGTGACAGTGAAGGCTGCGTGCAAACCAAGTGTCAGTGCAAAAGGTCCTGTTTATTTGGTGCCTGCTTGAAATGGCCTCACATCACACAGGGTTATGGAACAGCCCCACCGGTTTTGTCACAGTCCTCAGATGGCAGGTCCTGACGCCGGCATGTGCTGGCCCTGTGCGCACACGTCCCTCCACGGGACAACTGATGCTCTTGTGCAGATGCTGCCGGACTTGGGGGGGTGACTGGGCCTCAGTTGCATCCTGGTGGCTGTTCCACCTGCCCACTGTCCCTGAGATGCCTGCGTGCACCCATGTCCCCTCAGTGGGTTTTCCAGGCAATAGTTGATGACTGCCCTGTGTCCAAGGCCAGCTGTCCATGTGCTTGTGGGGACAGAGTGGTGGGCCAGGGGCTTACACACAGCCCTCACCTGCTGATCTGCCCTGTGCACATGGCCTTATCCTGTCCTGGCACTTGGCTGGGCAGGCCCCTAGCTGGCTGTGAGCCACATCCTGGCCAGGAGCTCATGGCTGTCCCCTTCACCACCAGTGGTTACCTGAGCCCTGCAGATGTAAACCAAGGACCCCAGCGATTTTGGTGCAGGGACCTGGGCTCAGCTGGGGTTCCAGGACTCGCTCTGGGGCAGAGCAGGGTGGCGTCAGTGTTGGGAACCCACAGCTGGAAAAGCAGCCCTGGATGTGGGACAGATTGCTCCCACGCCCTGACTCATGGGTCCCTTAAAATTCCACCAGCTCTGGATACGGCCTCACTGGTCACTTGAGAGGCCAGCACAGGGCTGGGAGACAGGACCCACAGGTCAGTCTGGGGACAGCAGTGCACAGCCAAGCCTGGCTGCACCCCAGGCCCTCACATGGCATCGGGGGGTGGACCGAGCTTGGAAGCCTGCTCCAGTTTGGGGGGCGGGGGGGCAGGGTAATGAAAAGAGGCCAGAGGCTGAGGAGAGGCGGTGCCCCTTGCCCGGTGATGTGGGCCGTGCTGCTGCTCACTGCTTCCTGCCTGGGCAAGGTCATGCCCACTCTGCTGCTGGCAGACATTGGCCAGGGCGAGATGCGCTGTGGTGCCAGACCCCAGCACACTATGTGCCTGGTCTGCAGACTGGTCTGGATTTTGTGCACGGAAGGGTACCAAGCACAAAACTGAGTCAGTGCCTGTTGGAATCAAGGGCCCTCCACAGCACCGTGGGAGGCCCAGAGGAGCCTGTGGGTCTGAGGTGAGCACAGCTTCCCAGAGCAGGAAGTCCCGGAGCTGCATGTCGCTGAAATCCAGCTGAGGTCAGCGCCCCATGTGGCACAGGGCGGGCCAGCAGGGCTCATAGGTCAGGCAGGGGAGAGATGGATGAAAGTCTCAGCATCAAGCTTTTTGTTTTAAACTTTTTAAAAAATACACTCTTTGGCTTCCTTTTATTTCTGAGGATTACATGAAATGTGAACTCTATAGGAACGTATCCCAGTCGGTCCCCCTCCCCGGGGTGCTGGCTGGATGCTCCCTGCCCTGCTGTGGGGGCTCCTCCGCTCCCCTGCACCTGTCCTCCTCCACCTGCTGTCCAAGCCAGCAGAGGCCCTACTTGGAGGCGGTGGTCATGAAGCTGTTCTCGATGCACAGGACCACATAGGCATTGTGGCAGCTCGCGGCTTTCTGCTCCAGCAGCCGGCCTGCCAGCAGCGAGGCAGCCTGGCCCGTGGCTGTTGTGGCCTCTGTCCGCCACGTCTCACAGTAGCTCTCTGTCAGCCTGCGCCCGCTGGGGTCTGAGCCATGCCACACGCTCTTCTGAGGCCTGCAAGATGCAGTGGCCATGAGTCACACCCAGACCCTGCTCCTCCCTAGGCAGAGGCAGGCACTGGCCATGAGGGCCACATGATCTGGAGTCCCTGCTGGCTGTCTGTCAGAGAGGGCTCCACCTGCCAAACACCTGCTGCAGAAGGTGAGGAGAGTTGGGGCCTCAGCTTGGGCCTGGGCAGGTAGTCTTGGGGGCTGTTCCCTCCTGGGCGGGATGAACCTGGCCCTCAGCAGCCCTTGCTTAGTGAAGGCATCCCAGTGCCATCTGGCCAGGAACAAGCTCCACCGGCCTGGGGTCCGGGCTTCTGGCCAGCCCCGTGGACCTGCTCAGTCCTGCCTGCACTCTCACATGGGGACCGAGGAAGCCCTTGGCAGGTGCATTTCAGCTGCTGGCCGGGGATCAGGCACCTCCAGGGAGGGGCACACTTGTCCAACCCCAAGCCACCCTTTTAAAAGCATGAGCATTGGGGAACAGGCATCCTCATGCCTGGCGAGTGGAAGGACATCTGGCATGAAGACTTTGAGGGCAGTTGGCAGTTCTGTCAGTATTTTATATGCATGCATGCTCCGACTCAGAATTTCACTCTGAGGAGCGTATTCTACAGAATAAATCACTGTTGTGATGTTTACATGGAGACAGTGGCATTGGTTAACTCATCACAGGCGCCGTGGAGCCTGTCAGCGTGGATGAGAGGGGCACCTAAGAGAGTTCTTAGAACCACATTGGATGTTTACATGGAGACAGTGGCATTGGTTAACTCATCACAGGCGCCGTGGAGCCTGTCAGCATGGATGAGAGGGGCACCTAAGAGAGTTCTTAGAACCACATTTTTTTTTTTTTTTCCTTTTTGTCTTTTTTCATGACTGGGAACGGGATCGCAACCCTCGGTGTTGCGCCCGTACCGCGACCGGCAATGGGATCGCAACCCTTGGTGTCGCGCCCGCACCGTGCCCAGCCAGTGAGCGGACCGGTCTCCATATGGGATCCGAACCCTCGGCGGGAGCGCCACCACGCTCCCAAGCGCCGCACTCAACCGAGTGCGCCACCGGGCCAGCCCAGAACCACATTGTTTTTGAACATACTAGCTCCCGAGGGCTTTTCACTGTTTTTTATGCCCTTGAGTACGTGTACTGGGGTGACCAGGTGGGAGTGGGGAGTGATGGGCACATGGGGACCTACCAGGCTGGGTGCCTTAGGACGTCTCTGCCATCAAAAGAGAAGATGCGGGCCCCAGGCTCCAGCTGGCCCTCGGAGCCTGAGAACAGGGCCTCCCAGTTGGGGAACAGCACCTCATCCTGCAGAGGAAAAACGGGCCTTGTGGGGGCTTATCCAGTCCCTGGTCACGTCCTGCCAGAGGGACAAGTGCTAAGCAGGGCAGGGCCAGCCAGGCAGCCTCGGCAGACCCCGAGAGGCCCCACAGACCAGAGCTGCATGCTGGGCACGGAGGGGCTCCTCAGCTGAGGCAGAGGGACCCCGTGCCCCTAATGCCAGCCTGTCAGGATGCGCTGGGCCCACACGCCTTCTGTGTCTAGCCCTGGACCTTGGGGTTTGCAGATCCACTGCTGTTAGTTCTGGGGAGTGCTGGTGCTCCCAGCATGTCCAGAAATCACAGCCTAATTGATGAAAAGGAGCCACAGAATAAAGCCACATGGGGGGCACCGTGGCAGAGGGTACAGGCTGGATGGCACTGATGGTCCGAGGGGTGTCTCCAGACTCCAAGCTTGTGTATGGGGACCTGCTGCTCTTGTAGATCCTCCATGTCCTCCTGGCCCTGCCTCAGTGGCCGGTGGTGTAGGAGCCCCTGAAACAATCTATCTGGGAGGTGCTGCTAAGGGGACCGGGCTGTGTGGGGGACTTCATGGGATGCCTTTGGGGAGGTGGCAGCCTCAGGGATGCAGAGGCTCTGGCCGGGTTCTTGTGGCTGCCTGCCCGCCTGGTGCCACCTGTGCCCACAGGACAGCCCACCCACCTTGAGGTTGACGATGGGCACGGCTCCGCGGTCCGCGCGGCGCACAATGCTGTAGAGGTCCTGCAGCCGCGAGGACAGGAAGGCGCGGAAGGTGCCGGCCAGCCCCACAGCCCGTGCCTGCTGGAAGCACTGGAAGTCGGCCCCGCGGATGCCACGCATGCCGCCCGATAGCGGGCTGTTGAGTGCCACCAGGTGGAGCTGGGGGGAGAGGCCGCAGCACGTCAGGGGCTGCGTCACTCGTTGTCCTCCCACACCTGAACTGGGTCCCCGAGGCCCTGGGCCCAGGTGACCACCTGCGGACAGCTCTGCAGGCCTCCCGCCTGGACCCCTCAGTCTGCCGCAGCGCAGGTGATTGTGGGTGCTGTGGACCCAGCAAGCAGCCCCCCTCCCCCATGTGGCCTTCCAGGCCCCATTCCACAAGCAGACGAGGGTTAGCTCGGCCCATCAAATCCAGAGCAGCTGGTGCCAACCCCTCCCTGCCCTTATCTGCACCAGCCTTGTAGGACTGAGGCTGACCATGGCTCCTGGCCCTGTGCTGTCCCTGCCATCCCACTTCCTCCAGGACGTGAGCAGGGACTAGCCTCAGAGGCATCTGATTTTCATGGATGGCCACTTGGACACCAGAGGGCAGGACCCAGGCCGGCTGACGGCCACCACAATTGGCCCTGACCAGGCAGAAGCCCACCTGCAGCCCCCAGGCCTGGGGACCCTCCCTGACAGCCTTGGGGGGGTCTGGGTTCTCCTTCCCCACTGCCCTGAGTGCTCAGAGGCCAGGCGGACATGTGCCCACTCTGGGAGCACTCACCACCGGCTGGAAGTCCTGGTGCGTGTGGGTGGGAATGCCTGTGGGGCGTGCTGGCTGGAGGTGCACATAGGAGCTGTGGTGTGGAGCTCCGGGGTAGGGCTGGGGCTCTGGCAGGCGAGGGGGACTGGCCAGGATGTCGTCCGCCCTCCAGGGCCGTGCTGTGGAGGGGGGGTGCTCCCGCCGGGGATATGGGTTGCTCTCATGCAGCCGCACCACAGGGGGCTGCAAGGCGGCCACTTCATTGTCCTGCAGATGGAGAGGCAGACAGTACTGTGGACGGGGCTCCTGCACCCCATAATTCCAGCCTGCCCGAGCCTGGGACATCCTCCCCCATCCTCACTCCCCTTTGTGCTCCTGGATGGAGGAGGTGGACTTCCAGATGGGGAGCAGGGAGCTTCACCCCAGACCCTGGGGGTACCCTGTGGGTGTTCAGGGCAGGAGCAAGCACGGGGAAGCCCACCAGTCCATGAGGCCTGCACTGGGGGGATCACCTCTGCTCAGGCACCCCAGGCTCCACTGCATGCAGAAGCTGTGGTCCTCACCAACCACATCCCCTGACCTGCCGCTGCCTTACTGCTGCTCAAACCCGGGACCCTGATGCTGACCCTCAGCTCCTTAAGCCTGTACTCCAGTCCCCCTCAGAGAAGTGACCACCACCTTAAAAATCCCAACCCAAGCCCCCACCCCACTCCTAATCCCCTGATTCTGCGCCTTTCCCCCATAGCACTGAACACCTCACACACCACGATTCGCTATGCATCACCTATACTTAGACTGCTGCCTCCCCCATACAACATCAGCTCCACAGGGCAGGGCATGTCTGTTATGCACAGCTGCACCCCATGCCTACAGCAGCACCAGTGAATGAGAGAGGCTGTGACTATTTACTGATGAAGGAATGAATGAGTGAAAGAACAGACTTGGCTGAACCCCATGACTAGACAGGCTCACGCTGAGCCCCTGACACACAATACTTAACACAAACCATGTTCCTGACCCTTTTAAGAAGTCCTGACATCTGCTCAAGGAGGAACCTACAACAGTGGGATGCAGCACTTTGGAGATCTTAAATATTTCCACCCACTCTTAAATATTTCCACCCACCCACCCATTCATCTACCCACCTAGCCATCCATCCACCAATCCACCCGTCCGTCAATCTACTCACCCATCCATTTATCCATCCGTCCACCCATGCATACATCTATTCGTCCATCCGTCCATACATCCATCCCCCATCCATCATCCATCCAGTTATCTACCTGTCCATCCATCACCCATTCATCCACCCATCCATCCACTCATCTATCCATCCACTCATCATCCACCTATCCACTCACCCCTCACTCATTTATCTGCCCATCCACCCACCCATCCATCTATTCATCCATCCATCATTCACCCTCCCACCCACCCATCCATTACCCAACAATCCACCCATGTATTCAGTTATCCACCCACCCATCTGTCCATCCATCCACACCCATCTACCCATTTGTGCATCATCAATTCATCATCCGTTCACTTATCCATCCATCTGTCCATCTATCAGTCCATTTATAAACCCCCATCCCCCAACCTCCCACCCATCCGTCCATTCATCTATCCTACACCCATCATCCATCCACTTATTCATCTGTCCATCCATCATCCATCCATCCACTCACCCATCCATCCGTCCGTCCGTCCATCCGTCCATCACCCATTCATCATCCATCCACTTACCCGCCCATCCATCCATCGCCCATTCATCCACCCATTCACTCATCTGTCCATCCATCTCTCCATCCATCCATCCACACATCCATCCACTCACACACTCTAGAAGTCATCCATTCCTGTGCCTGGCACTCTGGATGAAGCAAGACAGACAGAGGAGATGTGGGTTTTGGCCCCAAGGAGCATCTACCCCAAGGAGAGCGATAAGCTGCAGACACAGGTGGGGAAGCAGAGGAACCAGCACCCTTGTGAGCCAGCGCTGGGACAGAGGCACCCCTCGCGGTCTGCACACCTCCCTTCTGCAGCAGGGGCCGACTGCAAGTGACATACACTTGGCTCCAGGACCAAGTATTGTTCCAGATGTGAGACTGTGCATGCCTTCGTGTCCTGGATGCCCACCCAAGTCTCTGACCATTGTGCAAAGAACAAACGCTCCTTACCGACCCATGTGGGAGTGGCACCCGGGCTTCCAGCTGGAAGGAAACAACAGGGATTACTATAGCCCCCGACACAAGCCAGCACCAAGGCACCCAGGGCACCCCCCACCTCCAGCAGCCTCGCTCCCAGCACCGGCCCTCCCAGCATGTGTTCACTGCCTGCACCGCCATCCTCTGCCTCTTCCTGCTAGAACTGAAGCCCCTCAAAGTCGGGCTGGCTGCACCCCAGTGCATACAGCAATGCTGGTGCACAGTGGGCACCTCAGAATCTTCTGCTGACACCACAGCCTCCCCAGCCAGACAACGGCACTGGAGCAGGAGGCGCTGTCTGTGCAAAGGAATGGGGCTGGTAATGGAGGGCCGTCTCCCGGCAGGTCAGGGCTGCGTCGAGACTCAGATCCACCCAAACTCCATGGTGTGAGAAGCTCCCAAGGACGGAATAGGCTATTTCGGGGCACCAGGTTGGCCTTTACCCATCCTCACATTTGCATACAAAGGACAAACCTCTCCTGGGCACCAGGGAGCCCTGGGTGTGTCCCACCTGCCTCAGAGCAGGCTCACTGCTGCTGCAGCTCCTGCAGCCCAGCTGGTTCTGGGACAGCAGAACAGGGCTGGCCGTGTGCTCTGGAAAGGGCCAAGGCCGGACAGGGCGACCCCAGGTGTGTGTGAGGAGCCAGGCCCTGGTTTGAGTACAGGTGCTGTGCAGCACAGGACCAAGGGTGTACATCACAGTGGCATTTATAACACTGTGCGGAGAGGGGCACTGCCCCCGCAGCCGCGGCCATGCTGGGGAATGGTGCCCAGACGCTGCACCCCGCTAGATGGCATCTTGTCAGCAGGAGCGCTGTCGCTGTCTGTCTTAACATTCACTGCGTTGGCAGCACCTGGGAGTCCGTTTGTTTACTTAAAGTGGGAAGGCCACTTTCCATAAAGCTAAAACTGCTCCCAAAAGTTTACTAATTTTTTAAAAAAGTTATAAAACAAAAACTGTAAGGAGAAGTGATGGCCGGCCCACTTCTGTCCTTCCTCTGGCCATCCTGTGAACTCTCTGCCCCATGAGGATGGAGGCAGCACCACTGGCCACCCAAGAACTCACCAGCACCTTCCGCAGCCCATTGCGGACCCGGACGTAGAGCTCCTCTGTCTCAGCCACAAAGATGAGCCAGCCCTCGGGCACGTCGGGCAGCTGGTCCAGCATGGTCTGGAACGTGGCCCAGACCCGCACCTGCTGGAAGCCCAGAGCCAGGTGTGGCCCCTGCTGCCCCAGGGCTCGGGGGAGTGGGGATAAAAGCCCTGACCAGACCAGCAGGCCCTGACCCGGGTGCAGCTCCAAGGGGGGCTGGTTTGGACGCCTCAGGGTATTGAGAGGGAGCACGGGGCTGAGGGGCTGCGTAGCACACATGCCCCTGCTGTGGTCTCTGTCATTCTTTAAGAGGCCACCCCCAGGAGGGCCTGAGGCATTACCTGTGAGCACCCATGGGACCCAGCCCACCTCCCGTCCCCTGGCCTCTGCACAGTGGACCAGCCACAGAAGGGGGGCTGGTTTGGACGCCTCAGGGTATTGAGAGGGAGCACGGGGCTGAGGGGCTGCGTGGCACACATGCCCCTGCTGTGGTCTCTGTCATTCTTTAAGAGGCCACCCCCAGGAGGGCCTGAAGCATTACCTGTGAGCACCCATGGGACCCAGCCCACCTCCCGTCCCCTGGGCTCTGCACAGTGGACCAGCCACAGGGAACTTCCCAACAGGCCCGTCCTCCTCCCCGGGCCCATCCCAGTCACCCCCAACCCCCCAGCCCCCCACTTCTGCTTTGGAAGCCACGCCTCAGGGCTCTCTGTGCATCTGCCCATGGAAAGCCACCCCAGCACTGGTGTCCCTGTGGGGTCCCCAGAGGATGCCTCTGAGGCAACCCCTTCCAGCCCTCTGAAGGGGGCTGCACAGTGAGGGTCTGACGGGCCAGGGTCCGTGGAACCGGCCTGCGGCTTGGGGAGGTGGGCACCTGGCCAGCTGCCTGGATGCTCACCCCTGAGGAGGCGCCCATGGATCCAGGGGGTCCCGGGGGACCAGGTGGGCCAGGTGGTCCAGGAACACTGATAGCTACAAGAGAGAAACCAAGGTGGGAACACAGGTGCTGAACGGGTGTCACAGGGGGAGGTTCTGCCCAGGGCCCACTGCTGCCGACTTACTCTGCCTGTGAGGGCCGGGAAACGAAGGGGGCCCTGGGGGGCCAGGGGGGCCTGGGGGCCCAGGAGCGCCCTGGCGCCCTTCATAGCCAATGCCAGGTGGTCCCTGAGGTCCAGGTGGGCCGGGCTGGCCCCGGATGCTCTCTCCCTTGGGACCCTAAGGACAAGGACAACATATGCCTGCCATCACCCACATGACCTAGGCTGGGATGAGCACTTGCTGGGCTGGGGCTGCAGCCACCAAGGGCTCTGAGTGAGCGCGGCCTTCAAGCCCAGGGTCACCTCCCTGCCGCAACACAGGGTCTGGGAAGCCCAGGCTCCTCCCACACCCTCACCCCTTCATGGGGGTGGGATCCCAGGATGTAGACTAGGGCACCCCCCCAACGACAGTGAGGGCCCCCAGTCAGAAGCTGGGCCCAGGGCTCCCTGGAATCTTCCAGGACAGATGAGGCCCTAAGCCCTGAGGGGCTGGCCCAGCCCTGGTCGCAGAGGCGGACAGGATGCAGCACCAGCAGGAGAGCAGGCCCTGAAATGCAGGGTGGGGGCGTCTTGGGTCAGCACCCATCCTGGGAGGGACACAGAAGTGTAGCGACGGGGCTGCTGGGGCCACTGGTCTCGCAGGGCGTGGCCTCAGCTCCTGGACCCAGGATCCCGGAGATATGGGGTCAGGTGTGGACACCTGCAGGCCAGCCCCGGGACCCAGGCTTACCGGAATCCCAGGGTAGCCTGGGGGG